AGGCTGGTAATCCCATCAAAGACCTGATTAATCAGTTGGGAATGGGGAAAGAGTCTAACGGTTCCATCTGGGCTAATGAGGATTGCCAGAGTGGCCAGGGTGAGTGGCAATGACTTCCTTGGAGCAAGGTGTGCTCCTAGCAAGTTTGAAAAAGGCAGTGTGTGATTCTCCCTTAATCTCATTGTATTGGACAACTTCAAGCCAGTCTCTATCAGTCCATTTTTAAGTCAGCAGGTTTCTCTGCTCCAGTGCTTCCGGATGATATTGCTGATCTGAAACAAATGGGGGGTTTCCATTCTATCCCCACGCCCCTCCCCAAATTACTCTTCCTTAGCAGCAGCAGCCACCACTGCCTTCAAAGTATCAATAAAGACACATGAGGGCACAGCAGATGGAAATACCCGGCCCATGATGGCTTCTTTCTCTAGTATGCTTCCCTCCTTTCTGCAGTTCTCATTTCCCTCCCTCCCTCTTGTTGCTTTCATCCTCCCTCCCTCTCTCTGGCTCCTCTTTCCTTCCTTCCTATTCTCTGTGGCTCCTCTTTCTCTCCCCATCAGCATGCAACTGAGCAGAACAACTTCTCTGTGCTAAAAGCTGACTGGGAGATGACAATCATTTTCCACACATTGAAGGCACACATTGTCATCCCTCCCTAATGAAGTCAATGGGTGGGCTGCTTCATTGGTTTTAATGAAGAAGAAGGCTTGCCTTTCAAAATTCGGGGAAGGGGCAGTTAGGGTCTTCTGATGCCCTAAGGGTCCTCCATGGAGGATGACATTCAATTATCCTCCAGCCCACTTCTTGGCAAAGACAAATTGCTTTTCAACTGAAGACCGAGGAAAGATCTTGGCTTGACTTGGCTAGGCCTTGCAGCTGTCCTGGTACTCACAAGTGCAGCACCAGAAGCCCCTATTCTGTGTTAATCACCCCAAGGCAGTATTTTTAAAAAGTGTTCTGAACTTTCCCACTTGCAAAATTACTAGATCTTTCCTTTTTCACATGCACACACCACCAAGCTCACACACAGAGCTTTTTTCTACCTACAGGCCAATAGTTCTCAAAACACAATGAATTATTAGCACCTTCAACATTCATTTCCCCTGCCCCCATTCCCATTTGTAACTTTTTAAAGGCAATGGAGATTTTTCTTCTGTAAAAGATTATTTTCTAGAGAGTGTCAATTGCTAAATCTTTTCCATGATTGCCTGTTGGTAAAAAGAAAGACTCTTTTCCTTATCTATTTTTTCCTCCTGATAACTGCTTTGGGTAAAAGCACTTTATCTGGGGAATTCAATACAAATTCTTTTTCTATTTTCTTTACACAGCAGATTTTGCCTACAGCTTGGGTGGATAGGAAGCAGTACTTCGCATTCTCCCACATCAGAAGTTAAGAAATTCATTTTCCCTCTTGATTTTCTCTTTAACACAAAGGACTTTACTAGGCAGTGTGGTCCATTTCCAAATCATTCTATTGCTCTCTAGTGGTCAAAAATATTCTGAACACACTCCGGTTTATTAAATACTGAAGAAAGGTCAGTCAAATTTGACAGATTAGAAAAAGGAAAGGCTCTTTGTTATGTCCTCCCTGCTACAGACACACATTTGCAGAAGGGTATGGAGAGAGAAACCAGGAAAGAAATGATTACAATTGTTAACAATAATGACACTCTTGTGTCTAACAGTCACAGACCACTTACTAAAATCTGGAAGCAATTTACAGACAAAATACTAAAATTGCACTTAAAATCCATGTGTAGCATAGTATCATGAAAAACAGTTACAGCTAACAATCAAAGAAAGAAAAAAGGAAAGAAGGAAACCTGTGGAGCAGCAGGTGCTATAGGGAAAAACATGTGTGAACAGGCGCATTTTCACAATGGTAGAACACGTGACAGAAGCCTCTGGGCAACACTCTCTACTCAGTGGCAGCCCCAACTAGGTTAAAGGTGTCCTCCAGTCAGGCACTTGCTGAGCCAAGGAGGCAAGAGATTTCGTCCCTGCTTCCCAGGTAACTGCTGGGAAGATGGGAGTTGTGCCAGGTTGCCCCCCCCCTCTCACGCACACACACACACACACACACACACACTGCTGTGGCAAAGCCCTCACAAATCAAAGGCCTTTAGCAGGGGAGTTCGGGAATAATAAGGCTGTACCAACAAATGCTTCACACCCTTGACGTCAAAGAAAATAGGTCATCTTGGAAGTGTGTGTATGCACGCACTTCTGACAGACATTCAGTATACCCAAAATAGGAGGAACCAGCAATATTATTTCACACAGGGAATGGGTGACATGCCCATCAAGAGAAAGAGAGGGCAGGGATACTGCAGGGGCTCTGTGAGGAAATCCATGCATAAGATAGTTAGCCTACACCAATAAAGCAAAACAATAATTGGTTTGTTTCTTCATGCTGTTCTCCATTCTCCTACACCAGAAGCACAAGCCTGCAGCATGTTCAGTTCTAACTTTTCCCTTTTTAGGACTAAGTGACAACAAAAATATATGTTATACTTCTCTCCTTTTAGTTGACATTACCAACATGCAGGCAATAACAAACAGAAAATAATATCAGAATATACTGAGCTAGTGAGTAAATGCATTGGTCTTAACCCACAACAGTTCTTTGCTCTTGCAATTCAACCACTCCCTTGGCGTAGGTGTTCTCTATGAATGGCACAGAGGAACTGCAGGTGCTCCACAGGTATCACAGGAGGGTCCATCACTAAAGGCACCACCCTATGTGGCTGCCCAGAACCTTCAGAAGATTCTAGATGTTTGGTGGAGGGCAGAATGAATGCTGAGCAGAGAGCATCTTCTCTTTGCTCCATCTTTGCCTCACCCCTCAGAACACTTAGTTGGCCAAGCAATGGTTTGCCCCTACCCTTCAAAACTCTTAGCAGGCTGATTTCAGTCCTAAGTGTTTTATTCCTGCTTGGGAAGCAACAGGACTGAGAGAACGCCAAGATTCCTCATATTATGGCAGAGTTTTGCTCCTTCCCTCCCCAACCCCTGGGACAGCCCCACATGCCCCAGCTTTTAAGTTTCACTTACAACATTAAAGCTACAGTCAAGGCAGAAAGTGCCAGACAAGCTGCAATGGCAGGAAGAGGGAATTTCAAATTTTGCTATATTTTCTTCATTCTGTTCTTAATTTGGTATCCTTCTTGGAACTATGCCCCAGGGAGCAGTGCTGGAACACACCATTTTCCAATTTTTCTAAAAGAAATGTTTGCATTTTTACCACTACGGGGCAACAAGAACATGTACTATGCTATGCATGTTTTGCATAGAAAAAAGCCCCAGAACTCCAAGCATGGATGACAGGAATGCTGGGAATTGTAGGGCTTTTTTGACTAAACGTCCATAGGAATGAGTCTTGAATTATTGCAGGGGTGGCCGGACTTGCTCAATGGAAGATCCACATATGGTAAATGTCAGATAAATGTCAGGGCTTCGGAGAGGGTGGATTTGACCTGGTCCTGAATGGTGCAACACTCCCTCTTAGGGACAAGGTCCGCAGCTTGGGAGTGCTCCTTGACCCGGAGCTTTCACTGGAAGCTCAGGTAACAGCAGTGGCGAGGAGCGCTTTCCTCCAGCTTCGGCTGATTCATCAGCTGCGCCCCTATCTGGAGAATGACTGCCTTGCGACAGTGACACATGCGTTGGTGACTTCCCGTCTGGACTTCTGTAACGCCCTCTACGTGGGGCTACCCTTGAAGACGGTCCGGATACTTCAATTGGTCCAAAATAGAGCTGCCAGGCTGCTGACGGGGACTGGACGTTATGTTCACATGACACCAGTTCTCCGTCAGCTTCACTGGCTCCCCATTGAAGTCCGGGCCCAATTCAAGGTGTTGGTAATGACCTATAAAGCCCTAAATGGCTTGGGTCCTGGTTACCTGAAGGAGCGCTTACATCCTTATATGCCCAGCCGCCCCCTGAGATCGGCGGGAGAGGCCCTTCTCCGGGAGCCCTCCGTGGAAGAAGTTAGGAGGGTGGTTACTCGGAGGAGGGCTTTCTCAGCGGTGGCGCCTAAGTTATGGAATGCACTCCCCAGAGAGGTCCGCCTGGCGCCGTCGTTATTTGTTTTTCGGCGCCAGGCGAAGACCTTTTTATTTAAGCATATTTTAAATGTTAATATTATTGAATTTTATTTGGCCAGGGCGGCTTGTTTTATATTGTATGTTTTATATTATATATTTATATTTTACTGTATATATTTTAAAATGTTATTTTAATTTTTTGTTGTAAGCCGCCCCGAGGCTTCGGCGAATGGGGCGGCATAAAAATGTTTTAATAAATAAAATAAATAAATAAATTTGAGAGCCACGAGTGGCAAGCGGCAAGCAGGCGCTTGAAGATCCTAAGGAAAGGAAACAATGCAAGTGAGAGGATTTCCCTGCTTTATGGGCTGCTCAGAAAACCCCGAACTGAGATGGAAAAGTGGGATCAACTGAGATAATTTAGTCCAGACTACTACAAAGCAGGAGAACCTGGAGAAATGTTGTCCATGGGGTCGCGAGGAATCGGGACACGACTTTGCGACTGAACAACATTGCAATCAGGGGGATCCCTGCCAAAGTGCTGCGCGCGCCGGCCTACCGCCCAAAACCGCAGCCACGATTTAACAAAAGTCTTACATCCGTACTGCATTTTTATCCCTGACCCAGATTAGCCGGGGCGGGGGGAGGAAATAGACAGTAGAGACCGCAAAGTTTGGGTGCTCAACAGCTGCGGAAGCTCTTGCTCCTGGTCCCTAAGCATCCCAACCTCTCTTCCCCCGGCAGACCTATACATCTGCTGGGAAAACGGTGCAGCCTCCACCCAGATAGGATGCTAAATGCTTCAGTGCCCTCTGGGACTTGTAGTCCTTTAGAACCCGATGTGACGGGAGCAGAACACGAAGACTTCGTTTCCCATAATCCACCTCAACTTGAATGGACATGGGAGGCTGCCCGGGACGAGTTCTAGCACGCATCACGGCTCGCCTGCAGCCCTCGTTAGCTGCGACTCAGCGCTCCGTATGATGTTTCCCAAAGAGAAGCAGTGAACGAGGGGCGGGCGGCGGCCTCTAACGCAGCAGTGCCTCACTTCCCGTTCTTCTGGCGGCTGAGCCAGTTTTGCTACTGGTTCCTCAACCGCTCCTCCCTCCAGCAGTGGGACGGACCGTCCGCCCGGCAGCGCCTACGAGGGTTCCTCGTCTTGCTGCGCGGAGCTTCCCTTGGCATGAGTCGGTGGGCCCGCGTGGGCATCTTAGGCACTCTGGCTTACTGCCTGCAGGGCAAGAGGAGAGCCCTGGCCGAAGCGAGGAGGAGCAGGACGCCAGACGGAGGCGGCAGTGAGCAGCTGGGACTGAAGCTGGTGCTGGTTCTCTTTCGGCACGGGGCCCGCACTCCTCTCAGACCGATCCCAGATGTAGAGCAGGTGAAACGCGGGCTGGGACCCGTATGAATTGCAAAGACGCGCCTCTTCCTCCTACCCCGTTGCTGCCCAGAGGGAGACGGGAGACATTTGGGCGGATGGCAGCAACAGCACTGCACACCTAGCCGAAAGTGAGGGTGGGGGTGATAAAAACAATGGGTTTATTTATATAATACTTTTGAATGTTCACAGCCCATTAGATCAGTTGTTTCGGCCGATCTTTGTAACAACAACCATAGACTAGGAATTTTATATATTCACTTATGTGCCCTATATTGCCGAAAGCCATTGCCTAAGTCTTATCTGGGGATATTGTGAGGAAAGGTGCTTATTTGACAACCTGCTTTTGCAAATTCCTGATGTAAACAGTGGAGTGGAGATGGAGATGCTGCAGTGTCCAGCTGAGTGAAAAGCCATTTGCTATAAGGGGTTCACAGCAAGAGAAATGGAGTTTTCTGAGGAGCAGTGCTGTACACACCAACTCCATCTGCATTCGTTGCTTGCGAGGAGAGAAGTATAGGGCAGCACTGTGCATTGACAGGATGGCTGTGGTTAGGCATGCCCTATATCAGACTGAAGCATAAGTCAAAGGTCTGCCTTGCTCATGTGCTGATAACATATGGCAAAGTACAAAAAATAAAATAGTGCCACACCTTGAGTCTCTGATAAAGATTTCACATTTGCCGAAATAAAATGTGGAGAAGATGGAAACAAACTGAGGGATGTTATAAGGTTACGAAAGCATGGATGATTGAAGAGCCAAGTTGTTCCTGCACTGCGCAGTACAAGAGGGCATTGCCAGACCTGCTCCTCCAGCAGTTGATGGCAGAATGGCATAGGCTGTGCCTCTCCCCGACAGCGTCCAGCTTTGAGCACAGGAAGCCATTGCCAAGGTCCGACTTCCCCACCCTGGCACCATCCCACTGTGCTAGATGGCAGCTCCTGTTATTCCCAGCCAGCATGGCCAGGGTCTCCTAATCAAGCTCTGTTTTTGGTTGACTAGGTGGAGTGGAATAATGCTCTTTTGGAGATCCCTGCTCAGACAAAGTTGGACTACATAGTTACTGATCTCTCCGGTGGGCCAAGACCTTATTCTCCTTATGATGAAAACTACAAAAAAACTACACTGAAGGTGTCATGTTAAACTTTCCTTCCAAAACATTGTACTTGCCTTCTTGAAACCATTTTGCTAAAACTCTTCTATTCCTAGGGTGGTGCAATTGCAGGGCAGCTGACAAAAGTAGGTATGCAGCAAGCATTTGCTCTTGGGAAGCGGCTAAGGAGACGTTATGTTGAGGAGCTCAATTTCTTATCACCAGCCTTCAAGCCTTCTGAGGTCTTGTGAGTCTCTATTCCAGTTTTCTTCCTAACCACTTTTTTGCTCTCTACTGACACTTTTCCCACTCCCAGTATTGCATTATAAGCCTCAGCAGATTCCCTGCCAGATCCCCTCCTGCTCATGTTCATTTTGCTGCTAAGACTCTCAAATAGCACTGAGAAATGACTGTCAAGTAGCCTCACATGTTCCCAAGTGGCCTTGGCAGGTGGTTCCTGGACCTGCTGGTGGCCCATCAGTGGTAGCGAAATCCTCGTGTCTCCTCCTTGCCAGTTTGTACAGGAAGTGAAAACTTTTTGTTTGCCGTTTTTCCATGGGCTGTCTTCTATTTTGCAGTGTTCGTTCCACTAATATTGTCCGGAATTTGGAGTCCGCACGGTGCTTGCTAGCTGGGCTATTCCAACAGCAGAAAGAAGGTTAGTGATGAAAGGAAGCCTCTTGCTGCTCTTTTCTGTGTCTTGTCTTACATGGTTTCCAGTCATCAGATCCTCACTTTTTGTGCCATTTACTCTTTTTGGGGGCAGTTTTCCCTCTATTTATCTCTACCTACCTTTCCACATCCAAATGCATTGTTAGACCCCATTGACAATATAAATAAGGAATAATTGCAGTGGTGACATACCTGCAAAAGAGGGCTGAGTCCTTTTGCTCTGACTTCCAGGGAAGAAGTTTTGCTGCACACACAGGTTTCATATGCTTCAGTGCCCTTCCATATGTTCTTGATACAGAAGATTGTCTGATTATCAGTTTCAGAAATAAGCTATGAGAAACAAGCTGCTTAGCTGTAACTGTAGTTGTTCATATGTATACCGGTGAGGTATACATTTCCTAGAGGTTCTTGCCTGCATGGAACAATATTTGGAGGTTTCCAGAGCAGCCTTCCAACTGGAAGTCCTTCAGATGTGCTGAACTTCAACTTCCATCTGCCCAGCCAGTATGGACAATGGTCAGAAATGCTGGGGGCTGTCCAAAAGATCTGGTTGGCACCAGACTGGAGAATGCTGTTGTAGGAAACATGCTCAACATGTGACTGTGCCATGGGGGGTGGTAGGGAGCATACCTCTGAGGCAGCACATTTCTTGAATATTTGCTCCATGGACACCTGGTTGTCCTTGACAGGAATTGAAGGGCGAATGTGAACATCATAGAAAGCAGGGAGTTAAAACACCAAAGGAAAACAGATGCCTTTGCTATAATTCATGAGGTGAAAGTTCAAAATGAAAATGGTGGCCATGGAAAAAAGCAGTGTCCATGGCACAATGGGTATCCCCTGAGGATGTCTGAGGAGGGGTAGGGTGGAGCTGCTGTTGCTAGTATGTTTATGATCTATCCCTAGAAGATTCCAAATGTTAAATTGTGGAGGCATAGAACCCATATGTGGCATTGCAGAAACCCAGAAATAACTGAACAGATTCCAACTTAAGCTTTGAAAGCTACAGTACTAGGATGAAATCACTTTCTAAAAGCACATGCATTCTGCTACCGCCTGGGAATTCACAGAAAATCAACATCTCTTGTGGAAGCTCAAAGCTTATAAAATTTGATCAATGTGAAATGGTGGGGAGAGGGAGCAGAATCCTCTGGTTCCATAAACCACAGGATGTGTAACAGCCATTGTTATTAACTGTTTTGATTAAGATAATGGCATGCTGGGGTGGATATTAATGTACAAGTAAGAGAATCCTATGGCGTGAGTTGTTATATGTAAGAGCTGAATATATCACCAGCAAGTAGTTGGAAGGCCTGTATTAATTAGCAGTAATCTTTACTTAGCATTTAGCACAGTGGGCCCTTCCCTTATTAGTCTGTAGGCATGATTTAAAGTTGGCTTGTAGCAAAAATGTAATTGGAGTAGAGACATGTATGCTTTCCAGGGAAGAGGAAATTCCCTAATGAGCTGTGTGCCGATAATGGTAGGGATGACTGGGTTGCCCTAACACTGAAAAGCTATACTGTGGCTCTAAGATTATAAATGATTTTGCACTATATGAAGTGCAAGATTAGGTGTGATTCTAACATCTGAAACATCAATTATAAACATATGAGAACAAGACATTTTTATCTACCACTCAGGACCCATTACCATAGTTACAGATGAAGCAGAATCTGAAATTCTTTATCCCAATACACTGAACTGCCAACGACTGAAACATGGGAACAGGTAAGTTGCCACAATTCAGTGGCATGTTTGAACCTAACTGGTATGACATTTCCAAAAGGCAACAACTTACCTTTTATCCTGACAATGCCAGATTTCATTGCAGCCCAATATCTGTATTGCAGCATGATCTTACTTGATTTTGTCACAGCCCAAAATCTTACTGCAGTAAGATCAGTATGAAACACAGAAATAGAAATAGATTTTGGCATGTGCAAATGAGCTTCTGAAAGCAGCAGACACCAACTCCAACCCCACCACTGCGGCTGCCTCCCATATCCGTAACTCCCCTCCTGAAAATGGTACACAGAGGGTCTGGGGATTTTGGTGGGCAGGAAATCCTCCACAAAATGGAAGAAAGCACCTTCTGTGAGAAGATCCTTTCCATCCACAAGAGGCAGATCCTGGGCTCAACCCCAAATGTATGGTTTCTTTTTAAGGTAAAGTTCACAAATTTAAAGATTATGGGAGGTGGAAATAGATTCATCTTCAGTATTACAATTACTATTCACTTATTTCTACTGAAAACTGCCTTTTCCTGGGATAATTGAGATGCAAGGCTTTCATATCCTTGGCTGCTCTTGACTTTTTAAATTCTAAATCTTATGATCTTCATGTTGTATGAACTTACACCTGCTAAACTCATCACTTCAAACCTAACTGCCCTCTAGTCCTTCTTATCTGTGAAGGAGTCCAAGCACCCAAGATAAAAGTGAGCCCTTACTTTACTGTCATTGTGTTCATGTAGAAAGATGCTTTTCTAGACTGTGCAGAGCCTTCTTTACCAAGATACAGGGCAGATGGGATGTGAAGATCAGATGGTTTGCTCTGAACATTTTGCTTCATTCTTTCCAGATAAAATAGCTTGAATTTGCCTCAGCCCAACATTGCCCCGGGCCATTTGTCCAGGTGGTTTGGATTCTTCTCAGTTTGCCCATCTGAACAGTGTGTGGATAGGTGAGGGCTACCACCTGTGTACATAACCCTTGCCTGCCCTGGTTGATTAAATTGGCCAAAGTGAGATTCATCTTATAATTAAAGGAAGTGATTAATAATGCCTTATGGGAAGGATATGCTCCTTGTTTGAAGTACCACAACTATTCCCTATTCCACTGGCCTTTCAAACAAGATAGAGAATTGAAACTACCTTTGTCACCTGAGACAATGAGAACATGATTTGTATGGTTGGGGGTGGAGGGGGGGTTAACACATTTGATTTTCTTGGTTTTCCAAGCAAGCATAAACCATAGTATCCCACTGGAAAGGTTATTTACAGTTCTATAATTTTGTGCCATCAATACACTGATGACATTTGGCTCTGTTGCATAACTCCACAGTAGTGGTTGATATGCCTGAACATTGCCCAGGTTTGATAATTAACTTGATAAAGCTGGACAGAGATTAAATCCACACAAGGCAGAGGTACTGTTCATCAGTAGAAAGCTAAGTTCAAGGGTTGAGAATTAATTTGTTGAGGAAGGACTGCACACCCCACCCCTATGTCAAATTTATATATCACCTCTAAAGAGAATGTTTGCCAACTACATTTAGTGCACCAGCAGTAACCATTCCTAATCAACTCATCTGACAACTATTAGCCATGCTTTGATCACATCACAATTAGGCTGATGTTCTCCATGCGGGGCTACTTTTGAAGAACGTCCACAAACTTCAGCTGATGCAAAGTGCAACATGCACAGTATTGCAAACAATTTTCTCCTATATTGGAAGATCTGTTCTGGTTCCCATAATTTTCATGCTCAATTAATGATATTGATCTTTACTTGCCAGAGGATGTCAAGGTGCTTGACCAGGTTGTAGCTGAACAGGTGCAGACACTCTTGAATGAAATGGGTTATCTAGATCTAATTCTGTCAAGTTTCAAGCCTCATTTCAGAACCAGAACTGCATTGCAGTGGTTCTGCTCCTTCTCGATTGGACAACCCCAGAAGGTGGTGCTGGGGAATTGTTGTTTGCCATGAGGCACTGTGGGGTTCCAGTTTGTCACCTATGCTATTTAATATCTACATGAAACCACTGGGGGCAGGGGAGTTATTTGGAGGTATGGGATGTCATTCAGCCTTCATCAAATTCAGGTGATGCAGTGGCTATTCTGGATCAGTGTCTGAGCATGGTAATGGATTTGTTGAGGGCCAACAAACTGAGATTCAGTGCAGGCAATATGGAAGTGCAGTTGGCAGGGGGTTCATCTGTCCAGTTAGGTGACATTCAACCTGTTCTGAATGGGGTTGCACTTCCCCTAAAGGGCAAGGTTCATAGTGTGAGGGTGCTTCTGGACTCAGAGTTGTCACCTGAGACACAAGTTGACTTGGTGGCACAGTGCGTTTTTTAATTCTTGACCAACTATGACCCCACTTAGACAGAGAAAGTCTAGCTACAGTTATCCATGCTGTGATAGCCCCTCTGGATTACTGGAATGTGGTGTACATGGGGCTGTCTTTAAAAATGGTCCAGAAACTTAAACTATTCCAAAGCAAGACTGTCAATGGGAACTGGCTCACAAGAACATATTATGCCAGTCTTCTAGCTGCACTGGCTGCCACTTGAAGCCCGGGCCTGATCCAAAGTGCTCGTACTAACATTCAAAACCCTACATGGCTTGGAGCCAGATTAAGTTTCTGCCCCATCCATTAGTCAGGGTGACTGCAGGCAGCTTACAAGATATAAAACAACAGCAATAAAACAATATTATTAAATTAGACATATATCCTACAACAAACACATGAAAATCCCACAATAAAACTACACAATAACCACAATTCAGTCAAACCAAGACATAGTAGCAATAAAATCCAATAAATAGCATTAAAATGTATTTAAAATTACTTTTACTATAAAAAGGTCTTCACCTGGCACCAAAAGGAGTTTTCTGAGAATTCGCCTTATCCCACATGTACCTACCCAGACCGTAAAGTCATCCTTGGGTGTGCTTCTCCAGAAGCCCCTTTCAGAGGAAGTGAGGCAGGTGGCTACCAGGAGGGCCCTTTTCATTGTGGCACCCTGGTGGTGGAATGAGCTCCCAAGAGTGGCACCTGGTGCCTACTTTGTATTCTTTTGGGTACCAAGTAAAGACCTTTTTATTCTCCCAGCATTTTAACAGGTTAACTTTAATTTTAATATTGCATTTTATTCTGTACCTCTGCTATGCTTCTTTGCTGATTCAATTGTTATTGTGGTTTTGTTTGTTTTGATTTTTTAAAATCTTTGTTAACCACCCAGAGAGCCTCAGCTATTGAGCAGTATAAACATGAAATAAATGATCTTTTAATGTTTGAGTGGACTTTTGTCCTTGCTATCTGATGGACTGTCTTGTCTCATTGCTATTAAATCTTCATGGCAGCCCTGTTGAAGACACACTTGCCACTCACAGAGACCTATTTGCCAGGCATACATGAAAAAGTTTTCCTTTGTCCCCAAAGTGTAGAATAATCTCCCTACAGAGCTAAGATTGTTCCCCACTGTACAGGCTTTTAGTCTTTTAAAATGTGAATTGTTTTTGTTTAATGCCATATAGAAACATGTCCTCTTCTCTTGAGCAGACCCTGGCCAGCTCCTTAGTGCACATCTAGGTTCAGGGCAATGAAGCAAGAAGGGAGATGGCTGGAGCGCATATCGAAGTAAACTCTTACTGGGGCCGATCAAGCACAAGTTAGACCTCATTATCGAGCTTACTCTGCAGCAGTGGGGGTGGCAGAGAGACAGTTCTTCTCCGCTAGCATTGCCTCCTCTCAATGTTGGCCAGCAGTTTTTCAAGAGATTTGTAGCCTAGAGAAACTGTGGAACCCTCAGTAGCTCATTGTGATGAATTTGCCCTTTGAAGATACAGTTGCTCGGATTTGTCATGAATTGGACACTGCAACTAATGCAGTTCTACCAACAGAGACATCCACAGCACCACCTGGCCCAGTTTTATTGGGTGAGCTTCAGCTATTGATGCCTGAGAATATAGACAAGTTGCTTAGTCAGTCCAGCTCACCACTTGTGTGAGACCCTTGCCTGTCATGGCATCTGACGAGAACTAAGGAAGGTATTCACAATTTGGTTCAGGAGGCTGTAAATGCCTGGAGGGAGTGATGCCACCCTTTCTTTAAAAGAGGCTCTTATTCCTGAAAAGGCCTGACCTGGACCCAGGTTAACAACTATAGACCATTGGCCAACATCCCCTTCCTGTGCAAGGTGCTTCAGCAGGTGGTGACTAAACAGCCCCAGGCAGTCTTGAACAGATTGTCTAGATCCATTTCAATCAGACATCAGGCCTGACTTTGGAGTGCAAACTGCCTTGGTTGGCCAGAGACACAGAGAGCCAGGAACAGGGAATGTGACCCTGTTGATTTCCCTGGACCTGTCAATGGCTTTCAATACCATCAGCTATGATATCCTAGATAGGCTGGTTGGCCTGGGAGTTGGAAGCACTGCTTTGCAGTGGTTCCACTCCTACTTGACCAGTACATTCCATAAGGTGGTGCTGGGGGTTGCTTTTCACAATGGCAGCTATGCCATAGGGTACCACAGGGTTCCATTTTGTCCCCTATGCTATTTAACATCTATATGAAACCATTGGGAAAGATGGCCTGGAGGCATGGGCTGAGCTACCATCAATATGTAGATAACACTCAGCTCTCTCTCTTTCATCAAACCCAGGGGTGGCAGTTCTGAATCAGTGTCTGAGCATGCTAATGGATTGGATGAGGGCCAACAGACTCAATCCAAACAAGAGGAAGGTGTTGTTAGTGGGTGGTCATCTCTCCAGTTAGGCGATATTAAACCTGTCCTGGATGGGGTTGCACTCCTGCTAAAGGAGAAGGTTCAAAGCTTGGAGGTGCTTCTGGATCCAAAACTGTCAGTTGAAGCACAAGTGGACTCAGTGGCACAGAGCACCTTTTATCAGCTTAAGCTGATACACTAACTACCATTCTATCTGGACAGACCTAGCTACAGTAACCCATGATTGGTGATCTCTCATTTGAATTACTGCAATATGCTGTACATGGAACTGCTTTTGAAAATGATCCAGACTTCCAACTGATCCAAATCAAGGCTTACAAGGAGAACATATTACACCAGTCCTCTTCCAGGTGCACCGGCTGCCAGTTGAAGTCCTGCCCAGATTCAGTGTACTAACATGCAAAACCCTAAATGGGGCCAGGTTAGCTGAAGAAACACCTCACCCAGTAAATACCTACCTGAACCCCCGAGATAATCTGCAGCGCTCCTTCTCCCAGAGAACAGCCTTTTCCATTGTGCCACCCAGCTATGGAATGAACTCAAGAGGAGCCCCTGCTCTGCTTTTCAGCATCAAGTCAAAGCCTTTTTATTTTCCCCAGCATTTTAACAGTTAATTTTCTATTTTGTGTTCTGTCCTGTACTGTTGCTATACCTCTGTGCTGATTTGGTTGCTATGGTTTTTTGTCCTTTTAACTTTTGTTAGCCGCCCTGAGAGCCTTGATTTTGTACACTGCCTTAGTGACATTTGTAGAAGGGTGGTATGTATGCATTCATCAATTAGTCAGTCAGGTTATTCCCATTCCCTGCATCTGAACAGTAACCTGAAGCATTTCTTTTTTGTTGACAGAGCTAGGCTGGCCACTATGAATTTACAGCCAGGCATCTCTGAGGATCTGAAGACCGTTAAACAAAGCATGGGCATCAGCAGTGAGAAGGACGTAGATTTCTTAGTCCTCTTTGACAACATCTTTGCAGAACAGGTATGCAGTACCTTCACAGAAACAGCCTATTTTCTTTGGCTGTGCATAGGATGCACTCAGGCCGCTGAGAGAAGCTACATGGAATGCAGTATAGTTAAGCAACCATTCAACTGAACAACTTGAAGAAGTAGGAAGATGTCTGAGAATATGGCAACCAGGGAGTCACCCTTCTCCCTTTAAAGTTCTCTCCACACACATTTTGAAAGGTGTTGAACCCTTCCCATGTGCATAATCACACTTCCCACACTTCACCTCTGTTCCTCAGTCCTCCTCTACCTCCCATGCTTTCTTTTGCTCTGCCTATTTCTAGAAAATTGTCTTTTTTCTTGTGCCCTTTGCTTATAAAACTGCACAGTACCACATGCACTTGCATGCAATGTGGGACCAAATCACTCCCAAGTAGTTCCCATCTAGTAATGAATGAACAGGGTTTTTGAGGTGAGATGAGTCTTACAGTTAAGTGTAGCTGCACTTCCCCCACAACACTCCAAAGTTATTGACACTGAAGCTTAAACAGGGAGTAGAAAAATTATTCATGTTAAAAAACCTTTAGCATTCATAGCAGTAGACAGAAGGGGCACCAAAGATTTAAAGTAGATAAATCACTGTCAGTCAAAGCATTAAAAAGTATCTTTTAATAACTCAAAATGTGCTTTCCCCTCTCTGGCTTTCAAACTCTTTACATTTAGGGCTTTCTGTTCTTACTTTGCCTGACAAAGAACTTCTGCGGGCTAAAAATTTGGAGGCACATTCTATGACTCACTCAGTTCATGTGGCTTAATGGCTAGCCCTGTGGGACCTCTATAGCCCTGCATAAACTGAAAATCCTTCTAACACACACTATGTCACCTTGGGCTGTGCAAAACAGGAAAGATCATTGGTGTTCAGCAAGGTGTCTTTTGAAGAAACCTGTATGCCATCAAGGAGCTTTCAAGAAATCCCTGCAACGTTGCTTGCAACCACTCTTACAGCACCAACACAGCAGGCTTCTATTCTGCAACCTGTATCCATGCCAGTGCACTGCTTTTTATGAAATAACATTAAGCCATTCATCTCAATCTCAACTTTCCCTAGAAATAATGCCTAAGCAGGTTTTCTGATCAGTGCTTAAAAATAGTAATATAATTCTATTAACATTACTGTTTGTTCATACAAAGCAATTAGGTCTTAATTTATAGATGTGAGCAAGAACATAAACCTTTCCCCTAACACCAGTTGTTCAAAATGCTCATCCAGGTTAGCATTGACCTTAAGGCATCCAATCATAAATGCATGGGTGTCATCAGTGCCCACACTTAAGGTGTGCTTTTCATTGCAAGTTTGTATTTTAATTCATATTTTTAGGCACATGATCTACCAAGCTGCCCTATTCTGAAGAATTTCCTGCAAATGATTGAGCAGAGGGCTGTAGAGTCTCTTCTTTATGTTACAGAACACAATTTAAGGTGAGCAGCTTCAGGACTGGTAAGGGAGGAAAGTGGGAAGAATGTCTATGCTGATAACAAAGTACAGTCTCATATTATTAAGTGTTAAGTTGGCTTCTTGCATAAACTAGTAGTGTGTGTACCAACTATGTACTAACCCCTTTTACTTTTAAACCTATTCCCTTTCTTAGCAGCACAGCTAAGCCAGTTATCTAGAATTATCAAAGATGCAGTAACATGTTCAGGCCCTGTTAGAGAATATCCAACTGTTTTCCCCCGCCATAGGGAGAATCTTCAGATGTCTGTCGGTCCGCTTCTTAGTGCAATAGAGAAGAACATAAAGGAAGCAATTGAGCCGCCTTCTCCTGATATCAAGGCCAGGTACACAATTACTGATATTTATAGCTTCTTCCTGAAGTCACCTGCAGATGTTTATGCATAATCCAGAAATATTCAAGTTAACTTGGATCAGCAACCCTGTGCTAAAATTAAAGGAAAACTAGGACAAAGCAAACAGTAGAAAACCTTGACTATAAGGGTGGGATGAAAGTGAGTAAATGTGGCAAATTGACACTTTTTTCCTAAGGAATGTTGGGAGAACTAAGAAATTCATGACAATTCTTACATTCAGAATTTGCCTTAAGATATTTATCAGCTGGACAAAGGCCACTTGTAAATAACCAGTTTAAACATGAGTACCTTTAACTTAGCTCACACAGCAAGTTTCAAATGAACACGCAGAATGAGGTGCTTGCATGCAAAATCCAGATGAGAGGGGAAAATACAATCACCTCTCCCTGCAAGGAGAGACACCCAACACAATTGATACCCCATGTAAATGGAACTGGTAGTTTAAAAGACTAATGGCTTATACACTGACAGTATTGCTGTATTTATTTTGCATTTTTCTTCAGGAAGCTAATTCTTTATGCTGTTCATGATGTTACCCTTGTCCCACTACTGATGGCTCTGGGAGTTTTTAATTCCAAGTGGCCTCCATATGCTTCAGGCGTGACTCTGGAGGTCTACCAACATTCCAAGGGCTGGTTTATACGGCTGACCTATAATGGAGAGGTAGGCATTTCACACTGATGCTGCGTTCTCTGTACGTGTACACACACCCTTGGGTGAGATGTGGGTGAAGCACAAGCCAAAGCTTGGAATTCATTTGAATAGTCAAGCAGTTTAGTGAATTGGATACATGGAACCTCTTACAACCTTGCTTCAGGCTCTCTAACCTAACCTTTATCTGTTTAAGGAACTTGGCTTTCATTATAGAACACAACTGATGCTGTACAAAGTTGTATTTTTCTCCCAAGAGTGCTTAAAAGTGGTAACTGTAAATACTTTGTTTTATTGCAGGAACTGATTCCCAAGGGGTGCAGAACTAGACTCTGTCCACTGGACGACTTTCTGAACATTCTTTCAACCTACAGTACAACACCAGAGGAATACAAAATGCTTTGTTCCCAGACAGAAGAGGCACTTTAACAGATAACCGATTAGTGATTCTTAATTATGTTATTACAGCTCCCATGAAGTTCCATAAAAGGCTTTATTCAGTTATGGTCTAACTTGGCACTTCAAAGTCTTGCAGTGGCAAGCAGCTTGCTACAGTGACTGAGGTGTATGCTACTTCTCTATTTTAGAAAGAGGCTTAAGTAGCTGAATAAAAGTATGCAGCACTCCTCACAGCAAGAGCAGATAGAAGTTACCCATAGTAAGTTACCGTAGTAATGAACTCTTTGAAATAAGAGAAATGGACAACTTTCTAAGAAATTATGCATCTTACTATTGTCCTTCCTTTTAAACTATACACTTAAAGGAATATGGCCTTTCCTCAAAAATTTAAAGGTGCAATCTTACGCATGGCTGGCTAGGGCATGCTGGAATTTGTGGGACTTCATTCTGTCTAAACATGCAGAGGAATGTGCCTGAAATCTTCCTTAGTGGAGACTTGTGCTAAATCAAATCCTAATTTTAGTAAAGAAACACACCAATAATGAGTTTTTTAAATGTCTCTTGTCTAAACTAAGCTACTTTCCAAGAAATTTTAAATGAAGTGTTTTAACTACAGGACTAACAGACTCTCCACATACATTCATAGTTCACCTTACTTTGGTTTTAGAATTTCTGTGTAGACTTGCTGATAGTGCAGTCATTAGCAGAGCAAATTACTTTGAACCTTCTGGTAACTACCTCATTTATAAATAGTAGGAAACAGTTATTTAAAATATAGCAAGAGGCGAGCTTGTAGTGTTAATATTAAACCATAGTGTAATAGCATAACTGGCTAAACTGTGAAAGTACTGGTGGCAGTTGTTGTAAGCCTGGAAAAACCTAATAAGATGCAAGTAATTAAAAAAACCCAATGGAATGCACTTGTTAGGAACCTGTAAGATGTTAAGTGTTTATAAATGGAGGTGAATACATACTGGGTGTTCCAAATGGTTGCTACCTATAGTAACAGCAGCACATGTGAAGCAATTTGGTTCAGACTAGATTTGTGGTATGTAGGTTACAGCTAATCCAAATGGACTACCCAAATCAATACAGATACTATAAGCAGTCTCTTTCCTTTCCACAAGCATTATTATGAAAAGCAGTCAGGACCTCTGCTTTGTGCAAGAAGCTACAGAACAACTTTGTCCAAACAAGAATTGCTTAAATGACCTTCCACAGCAATGTGGAGTAAAAATGTTCATACAGAGGAATTAATTGTCCTTGCTTCTTATTCCTTCACTGGTAGAAGTACAAAGATTCTAGACATGCTCCCTTTATACAGCTGCAGGAATGATATTACAACTGATAACAGGATCTCTCAGAAATGGGAGTTAGGCACAGGTTGGTCAGAGCAACATGTTATAGGAGGACTTTTCAGATAAAGTCTTCTGCTTAAATTCCCCCTGCAAGAAAAATTCTAAATTATTAGAAATGCTTGAGAATGTTATTCATTTACCAGCTGAAGGCAGATGACCAAGTCCAGATTTTCCAGTGTTCCCAGCATCTGAGAGCTCTTCCTCTTGAAAACTAACAGTTCAGAGTGACTAGAGTACAACATATAAGCCCCAGGCACTTCAGTGTAAGAGCGCAAGTGTGTTGCTGGCTCTGACCCCTGTACATTCAGTGTGGCTGTTAAAGAGGAGCCCTTGTGTGTGAACAGTTGCTGAGGAGTAAGAGGTGGTTCTTCAGGTGTTCACCCACAGGACAAAGGCTGGGCCAGCAATGCTTCTATGTATTAATGCTCTACACCCAAGTATCACAGGAATAGGGCTTGAGTTTACGAAACTGTGCCAAGGCTGCACATACTTCTCGTCAGCTTATGACAGAATTTAACTTGGACAATAATTACGCTTTGGAACAACTCAGAAATATCCAAACACATTATCCAGCTACAAGGAAGCAGGTTTAGAAATAATCCAAAGACAGAAAAATGGATTGTAGCAAAAGAGAAAGGAACGGCTGCTTTTTTCTTTTCTTTTTTTCTTTTTTTCGTAAGAAACAATATATTTTATTTTTCTGACACCACAGCCCTGGCAAGTGGTTTTGTACCAAATTTAATGGAGGTTACACAGTACGTTTTACGCTGGGGAACAAAAAAAGGATAGCCACAAAAAAAGTCAGGATAACTTTTAGTGTCTGTTCCACTCCCACATTAATAAAGTCACTTGGGGGGGGGGGGGTCTAAGAAAAAGAGAATAAGAAACAGTAAGACTACTGTAGAATGTAACAGTGTCCAAGTCCAGCCTCTTCCTGAAAGTGGCAACACTCCCAGCATGAGAAGGGGCTTGCCCAGATATACTCCCCAAAATAATACAATGTATTGCAGCTGCCAGAGGAGGAGACAGTAAAAGGGTGGGGAGGACCAAGATGCCTTTTTTTTAAAAGAGTGGGAGGGAGAGACAAAAAGGTGCTGGATAGCACTCCATAATTTGAAAAATATGTCCTTAACTTATTTTTTAAAAGGTTCCCCCTCACTGAACTTAAGTTCCTTTTGTGCTTTTCAATTAATACTCTGCTCTGAGGTCGTAGTTTGGTTTCTCTATACATTGGAGTTGAAGGAAAATAGTCCAAAGTTCTGAAGATGGATTTTCCACCTAAAAGTAAACAGCCTCTCACCCCAAAGACTAAAGTCTCTGCTAAAATCCCTTTTACAATATAGTACAGTACACAAAAATAACCCCCCAAAAATAACTGAGTCCTGGGAGAAGCCAGTCTGAAAGACGTAAACATACAGAGAATGGTGCAACTTGTGACAAATGGCAATTCTCAAAATACAGCTACAGATTCTCAAAGCAGGTGCCATCACAGGATACCCAAGTACACAAAAATAATTTTTAAAAAATAAATCTTAAAAAAACAACCTGTTAAAATGAATTATTTGTTTTCAGGTAATTCCATACATTCGAGATTTCCCAAAGCATCCTCTGGTCTGATTTCACCTATTGCATGGCCAAACTGTGCTCCTGGAGCTCTCAGGACCTGGAATCTCATCTCAATAAGGATTGGAACCATCCAGTCTTTATGTAGCAGCTTAAAACATCATGTTCCCTGGGTTTCCAGGACCTTGGCTAAATCCTCCCATTCCTACATCAGCAGCCATACCCCGGGGTCTCATCTGTGGGGGAATCATGATGTTCTGTTGGGGTCCAATCATGCCCTGCATTGACATCATCATACCAGGTGAACCCACAGGTCCTGGGTGGCCATACAGCCCAGCAGGAGCTCGGTCCTTGCCTGGAATCATGCCTACTGGGTTGCTCATTAGAGTGGGTTGGCCAGGCATTGTTGTTTGTGCTGGTGACATCATCCGATGATGAGGTCCCATCATACCTTGTTGTAGAAAGGCAGGTGGTCTCATTGAGTTATGGCCTGGCATGGATGATGCTGTTCCAAGAGGGATATCAGGAGTGCCCACTGGTCCTCCCATGCCAGGTAATGCCAGCCCCATCCTTGGATTCTGTTCTCCCATCATTCCCTGCATGTGAGAAAAACCAGGCCCAACACCCTGTGGCTGCTTGCGGCCTGGCACTTCCCCACGAGGGAAATACTGCAGTGTCTGGCTTGGCTTCTCAGAAGGAATAATCCTGGACAGGTCAAATTCTGGTATTCCAGTAGCTCCAGGGCGAATCACTTCCTGCAACTCTGGATCAGTAAAAACTGAAGGCATGTTGTTTCCTAGAACAGTAAAAGAGTCTGGTCCTCCTGGACCTCCAGACTTGCAAAGTGCTGGATCTGTTGAACTTTGGGGCATGCTGGTGGGACGCCCCAGAGGTCCTTCGCCATGGAAGCTCATTCCAGCTGGGAAGTTGCCTTGTCCTCCACTAGGTCCATTATGTGGAAATGGCACCTGCTGGGGAGGGGACTGTACTGGAGGAAACCCCTGTGGGAAGCCCAGACGTCCTTGAGGTACCATTGGTGGATCTTGGGAACCATGGCCCATCATTGGATTGTGTGACATCAGGCCAGGTCCCACGGGGACCCCATGAGGAGGTATACTGGGTCCCATGGCATTTGGAGAGGGCATCTGGTTACTGTGAGTTAGAGGCTGAGTCATTCCCATTGGGCTAAGAGTTGGCATTGGACCAGTCTGGTTGGGACCTGAAACACGAGGATTCTGGGGATTGATGGCCATTCCTGGAGAAAACAGGAGGGAAAAAAATGTAGGAGATTAGAGCAAAATAGTTGAAAACATCAAAGCTTTCTGTTAATGGAGCACAAGTGCTTATTCTTCAAGAAGCCCAGTTATCCATAGATTCCTCATTACTATGCTAGCATTCCTGCTTATAGTATCATGTCAAAACACTCCCACATACCTTTTTTTACATTTATACCTTAATTTTCTTTCAAACCACTTGTACTTAGAAATTAATTTTTTTTTTCTAAAGCAGAGAAAGATGTGATTTCTGCTGATTAAAGTCCCCCACCCCCAAACTACGCAACTGAGGAAGCATTAGGTTGTTGACTTCTCTACCAAGGGTATTCTGCTACACTGTAAAGCAAGGATGGACAACCTGCAGCCTTAACAGTGTGCAGACCTCAGGCCAATTTCAAAAGCTTTTTGCATGCAGTAAGTTCAGACTTCTGGCAACAGCGACATATTGCTTCTCTGGCAGCCTGCTGCAAAGAATGGAAGAGGGAGGAAAATAAAAGTAGCAGAAAGAACAAGGTTAACCCACCCACTTCTGGCTCTGACTACATCCACCACTAGAGCTTTGGCTCTGCTCACTGCCAGCATGTAACCCCAAGAGATTATAGAAAAAAGACTGTTCTGCTGTAAAGGAATTCCATGGCCTAATCTAGGCTGCACACAGCTCACATGGGATAAAGACAAACATCTTGTCCTAAGTACATCCTAGAAAACGATTACAATTTCCTTTTTGTGATGCATGGTAGGGTAAATCAAAATTAATACTCATGATTCAGATATCAAGGAAGACAGATTGCCACTACTGATATTTTCAGAGGGGAAACTCAGGATTCCACAGAACAGTTTGAAAACCACCAATGTAATACAGCAGCTGAAAAAAATAAGTTGTGTTCTAAAAGTAAAATGATGGTGACTTATTAACAGTCCTTTTGAAAGAAAGTCATAAGGAAGTGGTATTTGTAAGGAACGTCTCCAGAAACAACATCACCTCAAAGAATAAGGGAATCCAGAGCAGAAGTCAAGCCTCTCATTCTGGATTTGCTTGCCAAACATCCAGGTTCCTATTCCCAGAGCAGCAAAGCTAATTGTTAGTAACAATAGCTTCAGTCAACCTTACTGCTGCAGGACTGTATTCACATGAACCCCTCCTCCTTCATCATTTCCAACTCACCAAATAAAGAGGAAGGGATGCCTTGAAAATAAAAAAGCAGTACCACAAATCTAAAAAATACTGGAACCTTAATCAGAGACATGCAAGCTTTCAAGCCAAGTCCTACCATATTATGACTGTAAAAGGCAAGTCCTCAAGATTCAAGTAAGTTTCACTTTTCTGGGTAGTAAGTCTTACTACCCAGAAAAGAGTTATGCAACAGATAACTCTGATCAGACTAATGGGAGCAGGAATATGACCAGCCCTGGGTTTAACAATGTGCTGTCAGTCACAGTAACCCAATTTTTATGCCATATGTAATTCCTGGGTTAAACAACCCAAGGACTTGGATTTGAGTGCTACCTCTGACACATTTGCTGCTTCTGCTTTTGCTTTCTGGAGCAACACAAGAATCTGTGGATTATTTTGTGATGTCTGAACTCAGGGTTTAGAGACTAAGCAACTCAGAGTTAATCCAAAAATCATCCAACAATCATTCAGAAACTGAGCATGGCATGCAAACTGGGTCACTGCATCAACACTGGAATGATTCTTGGATTAAGAACTAGTTCTCATCCATGATCAACTGAAAAGAGACCACTTGAAAGAGAGAGAAAAATAATATACAGTATTGTTGTTGGTTGTTTTGTTACACCATTTAACATAAGGGCCTCCTCCATTTTAGATAAACAGCACATCACCTGAATATTAGTGAGGTTACTTCAGTGCTTCCAAGTTTGCATGCTGACAAGACTATTTTGCCACATATCACATTCTCATCACCTTCTCTCTAGGATATTGTTCTCTCCAGAGACTGAAACAGACAGCAGAACCACATGCTACTAGCACATCCAGTGCACTTGTTTCTTACCCGCAAGATTGTTCATTGGTGGCAAGTTTGGGGAACGTGCTGGAGGAGAGTCATCATCTGAGGAGGCTACAGTCTTTATAGCATCATGGTAGAGTGGTGTAGAACTGGGCATTGCAAATTTCGACATCCGGGACATCATAATAGAGAGGGGATTTTGCGACAGGGTAGGCTCTGGGGGCATTGTGTATGGACTGCTAGAAGGAAGATTTCCAGGAAGAGTCACAGGAGCAGCCTGGCTAACCGTTGAAGGGGGTGCACCACCTAAATAAGCAAGTAAAATACAAGTTAACTAAATATCAAAACCTATTATATCCAGAATGCTCTCGACTTTCTACTAAAGGTATATGCATTCAGAAGCATCATATATCCCAAGCTAAATGCTACTGTGCTGCATTATACAATTGGTTCATTTTACTGTGTATGGCAAGGGCACCCTCCAAATGTTTTAAACTACAAGTTCCATAAGCCTTTACCAGCATAGCCACTGGTTAGGGATTGTTGTAGCTGTGGTCCAAAACATCGAGACAGCGCAATATTGCCAAGGCTCTGGCTGGCAGAGTCTTCTGCAGCACTGCTACTAAAATTCCTTTTCAACAGAAATGCTAGGAACCGAACAGCCTCCTGTATGCAGAGTGTGTGCTCTCCTGCTGAGCTATAGCCTCCTAAATCATACACTGACCCACATCCACACACACCAATCCACACCAAAAGAAAGAACAAACCCTGCATGAAGCACTTTTGAAAGTTCATAAGGGAACTGATTCAAGATTAAGTTGTCCACAAATGATTCCACATCACATTTTTCATGAATATGCATTTACATTACAGGGAAGAGGCCACTCTCTTTGGCCACAATGCTGTGCAGCAGATCACGAAGTTTTTAACTATCCAGAGCCAATCAAAGTTTTGGCATTTCTACACAAGGTGGGAGGAGAGAGGATTTTGACTGAAGTGGCATTCAGTCGCACATATTCTAATTTTGCCCCATTGACTTCTGTACCAAGATACCAAAAGCTCTGTAGAAAAAGCCCTGAAAGAGACTGATTCCATTCTGCCTTCTGTAAGACATATCTGAACTGACCAAAAGCCACAACAACCATACAGCCCTGTCTGTCAATGAACTTGGAACCAATATGAACTGAAGTTGGATTTTGACACTAAAACTGCTAAAATAAGGGCTTGGGGATGGGTTCTCATTACAAGGAATGTAACACTGATTCTATGAATAGCTGGCATGATGGCACTGTAGTTTGATATTATGGCTGAAATATACATTGCACAACCATAAACTGGACTTTAGCCCATGCTGTTTCTAAATAGGTACTGACCAATCAAGAGTTCTAACTGGGAGAAAAACAGTAGGACAAGGCACAGGAAACCATGCATGTATTCTCTCAACCTTTGACAGTAACTTCCTTTTAGGAGTCCAAATACCAGGCTCCAGCACGTGATACTAATCATCGTAAATCTCTGTTTCTCTCTGTTGGAAAAATTACTCTCAGCAAGTGTA